AAAAAAAAAAAAAAAAGAGACAGAAACAAACATCTGAGGCAACATAATTATCTGTCCGTTGCAGATGTGCAGCGATTTCCCCTGTGGGATTGTTAATGTTAATCGGATTAGCCGAGGCATTAATACGTTCCCTCAGGCAGCGGCGAAGACGCAGGCATGTGGATATTTTTGCTCACTAGGTTTGAGTCAGTTGAGGGACACCGAGGACCCCACGGGAGGAACGGTGGCCCACATCCTCGAGACGCCGGCCGACCGAAACTCGACAACTTCTGAATCAAACAGAGCATGCTCCAGTTGACTCAGCGCTGCAAAGGGAACGGAGGAGTGCTGAGTTGTTCATCTTAAATGCATATGGGGTGTTTCATCCCGGGTTTTTACTCTTGTCGGGATGGAAAAGCCTCTAAAACTGTACTTTAAACCATCACTGGAAGCTCACCTCAACCGGTGGGGTTACGATAAATATTTAAATAAGAATGCATGAGTTCCTTCTTTTTTGTTTTTTTAAGCGAAATAAAGAGCAGAGACGCAGGAGTCGATAAAAAGATAGCAGGCGCTGAGCAACTTGCTGACGCACATTTGGGTCCACGGGGACGGCGAGAGGGCACAGGAAGATGATTAAAAATTCACCGGGGAAAAGCACGGCTCATGACTCCTTTTTAGATAAACTACCGAATAGCAGCTGGATCTCGATCATGCGTCGGTTTGAGGCTGGTGTTGTTTGCGACGAGGCAGAAACCGCGAGGTGTTATCAGCAGCGTTCGTCCCTCGAGGCCCGGCTCCAAATGATCCGAACGAGCCGTCATAAAAAACTTTTTTGTTTTAGATCGCATTTAACAGTTTGAGCTTCTCTTTTATTGGTGTGATCTCACCTACAGGTTATTTTAGCTGATCAAAACCACACTGGGAATGTTTTTTTGTTTGTGTATCGCACAAAACATCATTTCAAGTTTGGACATGCATCGTTTTTCCTTGTGAAGTTTTCTGGGATGTGACTCAGATAAAAGGACTAATCCTGATGGCTTTGACGATCCTCTGACTTTATCGGTAACTCCAGCATAAAGTTCTGGTTCAGAGTGAAGCTATTGGATGGACACCAGTGTAAGAACTGTGTATGGTTAGCATGCTGATGTTAGCATTTAGCTCAAAACAATACTTACTGACTTACTGCTACCAATCTGATGACAAAATTTGCATATTTATTTTATTCATTTCTTGGATTGCAGACACTGAAATCTGAAGTCAGATTTGGGGTCTTTTAAACTTCCGGGATTATGTGTGACTTCGATATTTTCAGGTAAAAGTTTGGACAGACCAACTCCTTTTTGTGCCATTTTCTACATCGTAGGACAACAAACTTAAGACTATGAAAACTATGAAACAACACACAGGGAAAATTATACTAAACAATAAAATATGAAGGCATGATATGTGTCATTTTTTAGGGGAGCTGCCGTTGGCATTGATGACAGTTTTGCACACTATGGCAGCCTTGACTCCACAACATTATCATCTTATACAACCAAACTGTATTCACATGCTTTCTGCCACAAACTGTTTGCGATTCATCTCAAATATGTTTCTAATCAACATAGCTTTCTTATTTACTTAATTGCTTTGCTCCTTTTCAGCAATAAATCGTATGTTTTTAAAGGGTCATATTTTATTAAAACTCTGATATTTTTCTGAAGCTGACCCTGTAGTTTTGGTACCTAAACCTAAAGCAAACCACTACATAATGCCATATATGTTATTTTCTAGCAGAAAATAGCAAAAAATAAAGAAAAACTATTATACAAATGGGTGTGTCCAAACTTTTGACTTGCATAGTATCTTAAGTAATGTCCTTAAAAGATGAATAGAACTGTTGGTCACTGATTTACACGACAACATGACAACATTACGACAAAATTAGGAATACAACTTTACTAAAACAGTGCTATACAATTACTGGGATATTTGCAGGTTGAGTTTTCTACCAAAATAATTCTCACTGTTATTTGGAAATGATAGTTTGGAAAACACATATTTTCTACAATTTTTATGAGACTTAAATGCATGAATTCATTTGAAAAAAATAAGCTTTGTGAGCTTTTGGAAATGCCATTTTAAAAATATAAATTCCAACACATAAGGGACTCA